AGGCTCACCAGCTCCTAAACACAAAAGGAAAAAAATTACAGTTGAATCCCACGCAGAGCTAATTATTCTTGAAAAAGCTTGTTAATGTCCTAAAATTGGTTTTCTCCTCAGAGTTTTATTTTAAAGCACCGATCTGCAAATCTACTCCAGCAAGATCAATGGTTCTACAGAAAGAGCTGCTAAAGAGCCTCTTCTTTGAACTGTTGAACAAATGCTTTTTTTACTTTGAAGAGACATCCACCACAGTGGAAAGTTTTCATAGTGGGTTGAATGATCTTAGCTTCTGAAATCCATCATATATAAGCATGTGCTTAAAGAGTTTACACGTTTTGATAGTAAAGGAAGCCGATGAGAATAGAGTTTTGTGGAGGGAGGACTTCAGAGGCCTCTAGAATCAGACTCCCTGGGTTCCTGTCTTGTGATCTTCCTGACTCTGAGAGCACTCTTCCTTGTCTGGCGAAATGGAGACGGTAATTGCACTTACCGAGCTACAGGAGGATTTTTAGCATCAGCCTGAAAATGCGCTCACATAGCCTAACTCGGAGTTCTCAATCTCAGCACTATGGACAGTTTGGGCTAAGATACATTTTTGTCCTGGGCGCTATTCTGTGCAGTTAGCCGTGTCTCTGGCCTCAACCCACTAGATTCAAGGAACACCTTCTTCCCACAGCCAAAAGGTCTCCGGACATTGCCGGATGTCTCCTGGAGGGCAAAATCGCTCCTGGCTGAGTACCATTAGCCTGGCGCATAGCAAGTGCCCACAGATTAGGGGGCAGTATAGGGAGGTGCTTAAAGATAAGGATTTCCAGAGTGTGAACGCCAAGCAAAATTTCCTTCCCTAAACCTCATCAGGAAAAATGGAATCAAAATAATGCTAACTCCTTCAGACTGGCCAAGGATTACATAAGTATGTGCATGTGAAGGCAATTTGAACAGTGCCTGGCACATAGTAAGCTTAAGACATGAGCTTCTGTTCTCGCTTTCTTCCTGTGAAGTGAGGGTATTGGACTAGGTCAGGACGACATATCTTGGCCTATTTGCTGCTACTCCTCTCCCTGCCTTATGCCGGTGTCACTAGTAAGTCAACGCTCTCTTTCCACTGAGCCCAAAAAGGGACTCAGAATCCTTCTAAACACAGCCCTTTAGGAAGCAGCTACTGAAGGGCCAGCATGTGAGACGATGTTGAGTTACCATGCTGGCTCTATATAAACTTTAAGCCATTTTAAGATGAAGATCTTAAGTCACTATGGGATTAGAGCCTAAATCTCCCAGATGGTGACTCATAGACAATGTGATGAGAAGGAACTGAGGTTCTTCATTCATTGATCCCTTTTATGAGTCAGGGGGAGAGTGTTCCAGCATCTTTACTAGAATCACAGTCTATGAGCGGTTGGAGGCTACATCTCCTACCCTCTTCAAGTGCCCTCTTTTGCCACTCCCACCGCTGATGGGAGGCGAAGAAAACACTTGCCTGAAGCAGATGTGACCTTCCCCACCCTGTGCACTCCTACTCACTTCCTTTCTCCTGCACTTCTATCTGGAAAATGAACAGAAGTATTTCGTTGCGTAGGAACACCATGTAAACGTTCTTTCAAAAGTCCTCATGATTCAGGACTAGACAAGAATCAGTAAATTCCTTCATTAAATACAGACCGACTGCCTCCTTTGTAAGGGACCATTCTCAGCAGGCACTTGGAGAGATCCAAAGATGAGTCAGGGGGTGTCCCTGCCCTCAATGATCTTACAGTTTCATACATTGGGCAGATCAGACATGGACGTAAATAACTACAATATAAGCTAAAAAAAAAAAAATCGGAAAATGTCCTAAGAGAGGCATGAAAAATGTGTTCAGAGAACGGAGAAATTATTTTGGGAATTAGGAGCAGGGAGTCACTTCCTGCATGTCTTTGCTGACATTTTTAACTTTCTAATCAAAAATTCTTATTTGTTACAATAAAATGATTCTTGTAGAGGAAGTTGCAACATTGTTAGGCTTCCTGGATTAGACGGAGCTTCTGCTTAACGTGGATATTATCAGTGCAGCTAAAAGTGACAGTTTATTCTAACTCTAATAGGCATTTTTCATTAGGCATTTAAAAGTTCTGGGAGGTCTGAGAGGGAGATTTCGCACGTTTCGTGACAATAGGCTAACTTTCTCCCAAGCATCTGAAAGAAGCAGCTTTGTAGCATGTGACACTGTGGGAAGATGGGGTAGTTGTCAAAAGGAACCTAACAGGGGTGAAGGGACACCAATGCCATATACTTTGAACCATGAAACCATATTTCCTTCAGGATTTGACTACCTCAGAAGTCAGGCTGCGCATTCCATTATCTTCTAGGTACTATCTCCGCAACACACCGACATCCTATAGTATTGTCCAGGCTAAAGACTAAGGATGATAATAACAGTCCCCATGTATTAAGCGTTTCTGTGCCAGGCACTGCCAAATGGGGCTGCCAAAATTACTGCCACTCCTGCCACTATCAGGAGGCTGCCAGTCAAACCAGAAAGACTTGGGACTCTCTGGAACATGCGTCTACCTAAAACATGCTGTTCCTTTCTCCTCACTTAATGCTGACTCGCCCTTTACATGTCATTCTGTCATCACCCTTGACTTTCACGGTTAGGTCAAATCAGTCTGTCTGATGCTCTTGTTAGAAGTAAATTGTGTGTGTGTGTGTGTGTGTTGGTAGCACCTATGACAGTTGCAATTATATTTATTTTTGTGATTTTGATTAATTTCTTTCTAATGAGATTACAGATTCTACAATAGGAAGGCCTATACACCAGTTGGTAATCTCCCAAGGACCGTCTCAATGCCTAGCAGCTAGTAGGCCTTCAAATGTTTGTTTAATAAATAGAGAGAATCCCGAAGAAGTGATCTTTAGTGATGGTAGTGGGGGTAGGGTGGAGGGTGGGGGCAGCCATCACAGGCCCGGAAGCCGGAGACTGCTTAATTGCTCAGGTCATACAGATGATCTTGTAGCAACTTGACATCAGAAAGATGCTGTCTCCTTAGTTACCATTTTGCTAGGGTCATAAGCTCACTGACTTTTATTTTACCCTTGAATAGATTTCCCTATTCCTTAGAACGACCACATCAACTCTACCAAATCATATCAAAAGAAACTTCAGAGGAGGAAGGACTTAATTTAGCTGTTTCTACCTTGCCATAACCCAATTCTCATAGATCTTTCCCTGTTTATAGAAATGAAAACAAGGAATCCTTTATGGGCATATATTTTTACCTTTTCTGGAAGTGGCTTTTCACCTCAGTGCTAACCTCTTCATTTCTCCACTGTTGTTAGGACTTGTATCACGTGGCTTTCACCACATCAGGGGCCCTGTTCACCGATTATTTACTCAAGATTCCCTATCGATCCACAGCAACATGGAATAACACACTCAGATAAAATTAGCACTTCAGAGAAGAAACTGTAATGGTCTTGCTCTGGCTCTGGTAGACTGTTAATATAATCAACTGAATTCCTGGAACCAAAAATAAACTTTTCTGTGAAGAATGTGTACTTGGAATGAGGCGTACCAATACCTAGAGTGCATGTTTTTCCTCGGAGAGGGTGAGACTTGCTGGCACTGTGCAATGGAGGACAAGAGAAACTCTGTTTGCCCTACATCATTATTTCTTGCAAATACTACTTTATAACAAAGGCAAGAGAAGTAAATGTCTACCCACTATTCTGTATACCTGAAATAAATATAATATTGAATGTCAACTGTAATTGAAAAAAAATTTTTAAGGTAATAGAAGTTTAAGAAAGGGAATAAAATTGCCTATAATCCTACCTACAGACAACAGCCCTAGCTTACATTATTATTATTATTTAGTGTTTCCTTCTAGTGTTTTTTTCATGCAGTTGTGATTTTTGAGTAAATGCAAACTTAAATTGTATATTTTCCTAATTGCTGCTTCATAATTGTCAACAAATTATTGTGAATCCATTAAAATAATTATTGTGAAGACTTAAAAAATCCTGAAAAATATGTATGATATCAACTCAACTGATACCATAATAGGTATGACTGAATTTTGAAAGAATTCAAAGAACTAGGTTTAAATACCCCTCTTCCACTTAGTAGTTCTTTCATCTTTGGCAGCATTTCCATCATAGGTGGCTCTGCCTGCCTGGGTCCTAGGGTGAGAATGATGAAGATGCAGGAGTACAGACCCAGCCGAGCTAAAATGAACTTCGGTTGTCACATCACTGACACTTTGGAATTGTTACTCTAGTGTATCTCAATCCATCCTATTGATGACAGCAAGGAAAAGGCAGGAAATGGATGTTGAGAATGCAGCCAAGAGTTTATCTCCTTTCATTCCTAAATAGACAGTAAAACCTGTAAGAACTTAGATGTGAGTGCCATGACCACTGGATGTCCATATCTTGAGGAAGTCCCTCGTGGCCTAGCTCAGAGCAGCTCTCTTTCAACTGTCCAAACACCTTTCATGGCATCACCACCCTTCCTTGCAGCATGGCTCACAGCATTTGTTCTGAATCTTCCCCTCACTTGTCCATCTCTTCCCATTTACTATCAATTTTTTCATACAGGTGCCCCCCTGGTACATTGCTTCTTCTTTATAAGCCCAGTCACCTCTCAAGGATAATAGAACAGCCCTGGCCGGTTTGCTCAGTGGTTAAAGCATTGGCCTACGGACCAAAGGGTCTTGGGTTTGATACCCGGTCAAGGGCACGTACCTCAGTTGCAGGTTTGATCCCCGGCCCCACGGGGGATGTGCAAGAACCAACCAATCGCTGTGTCTCCACAATGATATCTCTCTCTCTCTCTCTCTCTCTCTCTCTCTTTCTCTCTCTCTCTCTCTCTCTCCCCCTCCATCCCTTTCTCCCCCCTCCCCCCTCTTTCCTCTCTTCCTTTCACTCTGTCTGAAAATCAATGGGAAAAAATATCCTCAGGTGAGGATTAAAAAATAAAAAAGGAAATAAAAAAATAAAAGAAAAAAAAACAAAATAAAAAATAAAAAACAAAAAGAACAACAACAAAAAAAGGGTAATACCTCAACCCCTATATAAGTATCCTCTCTGATCTCCCAGCTTCCGCTCAAATCTACTGGCTCGCAAGTATCAGCGTGCTCGTCTTCATTTGTGATTTTCATGACACAATTCTGCTTGAAAAATAGCACTCAAAGGCCCTTATTATCTGACTTGTCCTCTGCAAGCTCATAGCTCATTACTTTAAAAAAGGTATCTGTCGCAGGTCCTTGTGAGGCCATGCTTATTCACCGTACCTAATGCTAAGGTCTGATGGAAGTTGGTCAATATGGTATCTTACCTCTCCTTGCCTTCTTACCCAGAAAATACCAACCATAGTTTCACTGTTAACCTTTCACTTATGATTCAGGATCACTACTTCTTTTTTTTTTTAATATATTTTATTGATTTTTTACAGAGAGAAAGGGAGAGGGATAGAGAGTTAGAAACATCGATGAGAGAGAAACATCAATCAGCTGCCTCCTGCACACCCTCCACTGGGGATATGCCTGCAACCAAGGTACATGCCCTTGACCGGAATCGAACCTGGGACCCTTCAGTCCGCAGGCTGACACTCTATCCACTGAGCCAAACCGGTCAGGGCAGGAGCACTACTTCTTACACTAATTATTGAAGTGATGCAATGATGACCTTGAGAATGAGATGTGTAAAGTCATCTGCCCTGATGGAATTAACTCCTGAGTTATATATTTAAAAAATAATAAAACAGCCGAAACCGGTTTGGCTCAGTGGATAGAGCGTCGGCCTGCGGACTGAGGGGTCTTGGGTTCAATTCCGGTCAAGGGTATGTACCTTGGTTGTGGGCACATCCCCAGTAGGAGATGTGCAGGAGGCAGCTGATCGATGTTTCTCTCTCATCGATGTTTCTGACTATCTCTCTCCTTTCCTCTCTGTAAAAAATCAATAAAATATATTTAAAAATAATAATGTAATAATAAAACAATAAAATAACAAGAATTTATTGAACTTTGACCATGTTCCAGGCACTATTCTAAGTGTTTAATCCTCGCTTAATTCTAACAGTCCTATGAGGAAGGTATCATTATCATTTGCATTATCGAGATGAGAAACTGAGCTGGCAAAAGTCAGGGAACACACAAATGTTCTATTCCTAGCAGCATTATTTATGATAGTCCTGACATGGAAACAACCCAAATGTTCATCAACTGATGAATGGATAACAAACTGTGGAATATCTATACAATGGAGTATTACTTAACCATAAAATGGATTCAAGTACTGATAATACATCACGTGGATGGAACTGAAGAAACCTTATGCTAAGTTCAAGAAGCCACTCACAAAAGACCACATATTGTATGATTCCATTGATAGGAAATATCCAGAATAGATAACACCATACACACAGACTGCAGATGTGTGGTGGTCAGGGGCCGGGGCCAGGGAGGATGAGAAGAAACTGCTTCATTAGCCTGGGGGTTCACTTTGGAGTAATGCAGATGTTTTGGGACTAGATAGAGGTGGTGGTTGCACAGCACTGTGAACATTCTAAATGCCACTGAACCGTTCACTTTAAAATGGTTAATTTTGTTACGTGAATTTCACCTCAATAAGTTTTTTAAGAGTCAGGGGAGAGGGAAAAAGAAGCCAACATTTTAAAACTGCTGCCCAGACAATCATTTCATAAAAGAAAGAACATCATTTTTACAAGGAAGGCATCGATGGTCATTGGGAGTAGTTGTGATGGAGGCCAAAGGCAGATTTTTTATTTTTTTTGTATGAAGTAAGATTAAGTGTACCCTAGGCAAGACCAAAGCAGCAGAGCTGGGAGAAAAGCATATGGTCTTTGTAACATCCTTTTCGACTGTGGAGAGACCTTTTGTGTTTAATTTTAATTTTTTTCTGCGTTTTAGGAAGTTGGGATTATTAAATAATCAATCCTTCAATACACAGTTCACACATTTAAATCCTTGTCTACACATTTCAAATTGTACAGGAACAGCTTGACGGCCAAGAACGGTTCCTCTCTCCCTTGGGTCCCTGCTGCTTCCTCAGGCCGTGCTGTGCACACCAAAGGCTGGCAGCACATTTCCATTTATTGCAGCTGGTCTACCCTCCTAACTAATGCAGCTGCATGAGCTCTCTGCCCATTTTTTTTAAAAAAATCTATTTCAGAGAGAAGAAGGGAGAGGGAGAGAGATATAGAAACAATGATGAGAAAGAAACAATGATCGGCTACCTCCTGCATGCCCCCTACTGGGTATTGAGTCCAAAACCAGGCATGTGCTCTGACTGGGAATGGAACCATGACCTCGTAGTCCATGGGACGATGCTCAACCAACTGAGCCACACCAGCCGGGCTCTCTGCCCATTCTTTAGTGAAAACAAATGAGTTTCACAAAAGCCAGAACATTCTGGAGTTGTCATTCCCAAACTTGCACAGCAGAGAATTGCCTTGATGCCTAGAGCTGCCAGGCTCTATGCAGTGTGGGCTCTCCCATAGACAAGGGGAAATGGGAGCCGCATGGACCTCCCATCAGCATATCTGACCCCAGACCTTTGGGCTCCTGGATCTGTCCTGAGCGGCCTCAGAATGACCCAACTGGTCATGTGCACTGAGAAATTCCCGGGCTTGGTGCCGAGTTCCAACTTCTGAAACATCAGGATGAGAGACTGACTTCTTACTAAAAAGTCTGAGAACCACATATCAGAAATCAAGATTCAGCAAGGAACTCCCTGAGGACAGCCATCCTCGGCTTCCTGCATACTCATTATTCGTTATTCATTTCTGTTTCCCTTTCTTAAAGTGCTTTTATGTTGTTTCCTAAAATGACACCTTTCTAAGGTTTTCTCCAGGGACTGCCTTCAAGCTTCAGATAACAACGTTTGCATACATGTATTTCTGCAGTACTTATCACTCCTCCAGTACAGAAGGGCTAGTGAGTGGCAGAGCAGGATTACAACTAGTCCAACACTACCCCTCACATCAAGGTGTCTCCAAGCCTCCAACTTGAAGGGTGTAGGGCTCCCTGGACCATTCAGTGGGACAGGTCCCTTGTACTCCCATAGCCTCCTTCCTAAGAACTGATCAGAATAATGCACATCTATTGGCAACAATTTGCTCATCCGGATAAAGCTGAGGTGTCAAAAAAAAAAGAGAGGAAGTATTAGCCAGGAGCCACGAATTTCATAGAACGGATGCCCAAATATCTCCAGAGGGTTATGATGCGTTGCACTCAGTAGATAATAGTCTTACTGGATGTAAATGGACAAACAATCTAACGTCATTTTTCCAGGAACAAAAACCCTGACTAGCTTTCCAGAATCATAGGGTGTTTCCGAGTCTCAACACCACGCCCTTCACTGCTGCCACCACATACAGCTAAAGTGCTTTAGCTGGAAGCTTCTTACTCAGAAGGGTTTAACAGGAAATAATGGCTCCATAAACACAAACTCCAAGGGTCCTGTCTTTTTCTTTTGTGGATATATATTTCCATTGCTTTTCTGCCTTCAAATCTACAACACATTTCTTATCTTGAGAAAGATTTCATGAACATAGGTAGAAAATTCTAATTTAGACTTCAGGTGTGGTTCTAACTCTGGACAAACTACCCAATTTCCCTGGGTTTAGGACTCTAGATTTAGAAAAAATAACATTCTCAGTTTTAAGCACTAATGATAACAACCAATTATTGCATTGCATTATGTCCTACCTGCTTGGCATGTACTATTAGTCCCATTTTTACAGTTGAGGAAGTTGAGGCTCAGAGAGGTCTGGTGGTTTGCCCAATGTCACAGAGATAGAAGGTGACAAAGTGACCATTTGAACCTGGGCTCTCTGAATTTGTAGCCTGACATCATGTTGCTACATCCCAGCAATGACAACTTTGATGCAAGTATAGTGACCTACCCTGATGGTTTCTAAGGACAAAAGGAAATTCCAGAAGCTGGATTAGCAATGTTATCTTTAGGATGGGATTTTGGCTATTTTGC